AACGCCGAACGTGCAATTATGCACGTTCGCAGAGCAGACCTGTTCCCACTTTCTAAGCCGTGGGATTTCGAGAAGAGGGAATCATTTGGCCGTGTGCGAGAGCTTTTGGTCGTAATCGCATTTGTAGATACGCCGTTTCTTCAAGTAATAGCACATCCATGAGATTTCCATTTTTGGCTTTGAAGTCTCATATATTTAGTTCGTTAATTATTTATATTTATATCTTACGAAATTCCTGAGCATAAAAATAATAAATAACGAGATGTTAAACGTATCGATATTCTGCCTTTTTAATATTTAGAGTTGCAATCTTCTTTTTCTAATACATAAATATGTTGTATGTTAAATTTTAATTTTTCTCGTTCTCTCTTACGAAGTGTATAAATTCATGAATAATTTATGAACTGTGTGTGAACTTAATCTTTACACAAGTCGGTTTTTCTTATTTTGAGTATTTCAGAAAGACAGTTATTTTCTTTCACATAGAGTTTACCATAGTTCTGGAAAAAAAAAAAATATAACAGTAGAGTCTCTTAGGATTTAGAGCTAAGTACTATTCTTTTGCCAAATTATGTTTACGAATTTATGAACGATAGACTCTGTCTGTCGCCAATTTGGCAGGGATTCAGAGGCACGATGATCTTACGATCACCGATAGGCCGCCAAGAATGTCGAGCGCACGTGCGAGTTTGTTAGTATTTCTAGTATGATCGACCGCGGAATTATTTACAGTCATGGCCACGTTCGTCTTCCAGTAGCGCGCAGTATCATTGACGATCACTCGAGTATAATTGGACGAATCGCAGCTGCGAAGTGTTCTCGTTATTTGTGCAAATGTGTTGTTATTGGCAAATCAAGAAAGTCAGAAAGTTAGACGCAATTATGTATTAGTTTTCATACGCGATCCACGGAGACGATCTAATTACTTTTATCTAATTTTCGTTTTTCAGAGACAGCATGCCAATTGATTTGCATCCGTTGAATAGTGTTTTAAAATTAATCTTTAGAAAATATTGTAATGCACAGCGCTATTTTTTGTCGCTGATAAAATATATTTATACTCTTATTTACTCTGAAATATCGAGTTTAACAAATATTAATCTGTGCGGTTAGCAAAAATATTTGAAATTTTTATTCATTATCAATATAAATTAATAATTAATTAATCTATAATATATAAATTCATTTATTAATTTATGTTGATAATTAAAAATTTTTAATATTTTTAATGACCGTATCAATCATAAAATTATGACACATTTGATGTTGAATAACTTTAGCAAAGAAAAATGAACGATATCTATTTCATTTCGATTGTAACGTAACTACGTTTGAACAAGAAACGTCTAACGTGCGCATACATCTATCATAATTGGCAATGCAATTATGACGAGTTGTCGTGGTGAAATGTACTCCACCTTCTGAGACATTCGTTCTAATACCGCTGAAAAGGACGAGAGAGAAGGGGGTACGAAACGCGAATGCAATCGAGGCCGGGTCGAGACGGGGTTCAGCCTCGACTCGGTTAAGTACACTTTATTAAGCATGCCATCTGCACGTTGCGCCATCCACTTATGTGGTAAATGGAATTACAAACGCATCCCTATGCTGTGGGATCCCAAGTTGCGGCTCACACCTTGCGTTCACAATGAGCGTGCATACGTTGTGGGCTAACTGTTGTATATAGCACCGTAATTGAATAACAGTTGGAAATTCGTAGTCGGCAACGGCGATTAGCGCCGGGATGAAAAATTGATATAGAACGCATACACCATTTTATAATGAAAATATTTATTTTACACAAGTTTTTTTTTTATTACACGAGACTTTTTTTGGTAGCCGTAACATGCGTCATATTACCATTTCAATCTAATCTTTTGATACCATTGTGAACGCACTGCTCTGATGGAACGCCAATTCTCGGTTGAGCGTGAGTCACGATTTTCTGACGGATTTGATTGATCGCATTGTGGTTGCAGTCCACGTTGCAGAAAATCCACATAAAAGAGAAAGCGCGGACTGGCCCAGCTACAATGATTTAGAGCGATGCTATCTATACGGGCACGAGCGATTTTGCTGATAACAAACTTCCACTCGCTTTATTCGACGGACCACTCGTTCGCTCCGCTCGTGATCTCCACGAAATCGATGAAGAATTTATCGAACGTAATCGCAGTCGCGAAGCCTGAAATTCCGCATCGCAGCCGAATTCGGATGAGCCTTGCGTATCGAGATCGGCAAATTATTCGGCCGTGAGAGAAGCCGCCGTTTATCAAACTCGACCGTGTATGTGTGTGTGGGTGTTGCTGATCTATCGAAGACAGGCACGTTGATTTATTAAATTGCCGTGCCAAGCAAGAGAAGAAAAGAGAAAGAGAAGAAGGACCTATGTATTAAGAGCGAACACGGTCAACCGAGACGTCGCGACGCAGCGTCGCCGTCGCACCTTTTCTAGTAGGCTCGAAGAGCCTACAGAAACAAAATTATTAAAGTTCGCCGTACAAGCGCACTTTCGATGTTTGCATTAGTCGCCGACTATATGAGTTTCCGGTAAATACGGCCGCTTCATCCATCGAAGTTGATGAAAAGAGACTTGTTTACTCGCAGCCTGCTGATTTTCGAAGTACGACGCGATGCTGCAAAACTCACGAGCGAGAAACATCCACGTAAAGGGTTCCGTGTATACAAACTGCCCGGTTTCCAACCGGGAAAGCTACCGTTTTATCAATAGGATGGGATAAATCTTGTTTGTCCGCAAAAGTTCAATAATCGGTATGATATTGCACAAAGTGTAAATACAGTTTAGAGTAACTTCGTTATTTTTATAGATTTTTCTGCCTGTTTATCCATTTACTTTCAACATAAGTAAAGGAGAGGCTCATTTTTAGAAAAGATGTGTTGTTACAATTTTTCTTCTAAAGACTCGACAGAAAGTATAAAATTAGAGCTGTAAAATTATTAAGTACCATATTGATTAGCATTTCTCTAAAAAAATGACGAATTACTTTTTCTTTTAGTAATTTCTTGGAATTAGTTGAGATACATGTATGTATATTTTTTTCAATTTATTGCGTAATTGTATTTATAAATGTCATGTATATGACATTGTTTAAAAAATAGGTTTAATGTCATAAATTGGCCTCCACAAAGTTCTGGCATCAACTCCATTGAATATTTATGGGTTTACTTGAAGAAAAAAACCCATTAAGAACGTATTTCAAAACAAGACAAATTGCGATTATGAAAGAACAAGAACAAATAACGAAATTCACTAACAGGAGACTAGTGAAAAGTTTACTAAAAAGTTATAAAGCAAAAGGAAAGCGTAAATCATTAAATATTGATAATTTATTAATGATTGAAGCCGTTAATAAACTTCGTTGTATTTATTTCGATCTACAGATTTAAAATTAAACAAATTTGTAAGGATGCCTTATAAATTTTATAATTTTACACACGACTATACGTGTAATTTTTGATTTATGCGTGTACTTTAACCGATTACCGTGCGTACTCTTTCGCATAATTATTTCGACGTGAAAAAATAGCGCAATATAATTATTTTGCACATGAGAAAAGGCTTGTTTAGATGCACTTCCGGTTGATTTCCCATGACGTACGAAAATTGCGCAGGGAAAAATCGCACGTCAACCTTCATCTTTCGCGCAACTGTATGAGTCATAATTTTGTACTAAGCGAGCCCATCTTTCCTCCAGTCCGCGCTGTGCAAATAGTGCACCGGGAGTTTCTAGCACCGCTGCGGTAGCGGCAGCTCTGAAACAATAATTAATTAGCTGCCTCACAAGGAAGCAAGGCACGGTGAGGAGAACGATGATCGCAGATGTTGCACGTCGGTAACGACGACCCGTAGAGACGTACAAGCATTCCCGCCGTTGCGGAAGTAAATTGCAGACGGATGCTGTTCTCTCTAATCGGGAGCTAGTCGGAAACATTTTCCAATCATGCATCGATTAATAATTAATTTAACAGAAGTAACGAAATAACAAGCGGTTGAGAGATAATCTCTATTCTTTGGTTTACATGTTTTTGTTGCATATTGTAAACTTTACCGTGCAATAAATTAATGGCTACATTAATGATTACTACCTAATGTTATTAAGGGGAATTATTTTTTCACTAATAGTTATTTATTCGATATTGGAACACTATTACAACGATTACACAGAAATTCCTATTTGATATATTCAATAAGCGTATCAGAGAATATTCAGTAAGCGGATTAGAGAATATTCTGATTTTGTGAGCTTAATATATTGTCGTATATACTTAATTTTTCGATTACAATTTTTCAGTATTTGTTATATAAAAATTTATATGCATTACAATTCGTTACAAATTTTTCAAAGTTCCTATCAATATTCTTTAATTAAGTATTCTAAATGGAAAGAAATAAAAATCATTATTATAACATAAATTGTATTAACATCATTGATTTTGATGTATACGCTGTAATTTTTTAAGAATGATGTTGTTTGATTCCAAAACAGTCCTTAACAAAACAGGGAAGGTTCTCGTTAAGGAAACCCACGTGGTCCTTGGCGAGAAGCCACCTCGAGATCCTTTCTTCCACGACACAGTCGGTGCTCGATCGATGTTGACGACCAGACCAATCGACCATTAAGTATATCCCAGGTCGCGCGCAAAAAGAACACGGTAGGCAATCAATCTTCCATACGTCGAAGTCTTGTAGACGCTACCTCGCGTCTCTCATGACGACGCGGAGGAAAACAGGAGGTGATGTCCGGAGGTACGGAAGAAACGTTGCGGGACGAGCGAACCTGAAGCGTCGTCGCCGCAAAAAGTCGTCAGTCCTCGACGATAGAGGAGAGACTGCTCGGAAGCGATCTAGCGTCACAGAGAGGAAACGACTCTTGCTCTCTGGCAATTCGCAACTAGTCGAGTAACATCGATTTGTCTTTCGATTCGTCGAACGTCGAGGCGTTACGACAATTTAACGGGTTCTATATCTGTGATTTCAGGTAGCAGCGAGGAATCGAGGGCCGGTGGCGGTGATCCTGGGAAGCTGGGAGTGAAGAAATCGAGACTGAAGGCCTCCTCGCCGAACAGGCAGGGACCACAGCAGTGTCAGGTGAGTGAAGACGAACACGCGAGAAGATCAGTCATTTGGAGAGAAATTAAATTCTTGCAAATAACATGAGTCTCACAGCCAATCAAAATATAATGAAATCTATAATAGATAAATTAATTCGATAAGTTTTTCTAGCTTATAGATAATCTAACCAGCTTTTATACAGCAATAAATTTATTAAAATTGTAGGATTATTCAGTTTTGTCCTTTTAAATTTTATTTTTTCGATAAGTGGAATTGATGTTATTTGCTATAATCTAAATATATTATTAGTTAAGCAGGTATATCAATAATTTTGATGGAATGATATTGGCATTTGTTATGTGATCTGTAACAGATGAGCGAGATAGATTGTCATTCGAATTTCATTCAAATTGGCTTTTCCGTAACGGTAGTAGTACGATTGCTCATATATGCATATCAAGAATATTTATGCAACTATCAATCAGAGTATCCAGCTGCCACGACACCGTCAATCGCGCTTTATAGTAGTCGTCCATCCTTCGACAAGATATTTTTACGTAATGAAATTTGTTTAACAATTATTTGCTTAACAATAATTTAAAATTCACAGAGTTTTAAGGCTATTTGCAATTTTTTATTCTAAATGGGCTGTCTCTTACTCGATAAAAAAAATTACGTTTTATTGTCAATAATTATCATGCATGTGAACCTTTATTTTACCTTAATAAAATTACTCGGATAGTCTTAATTATACTGGTATGTGTCGGAAACATTATTTTTGAATATTCTCTTACGTACATATATACGCATGGCTTGTTTAAATTACGTGTATGCATAATGTAGCTACATTCTTGTAGCTACATTGCATTTTTTTTTTCATCAGTATGTTTTAATTAAATCTGGAATCACTTGCGAAAATAACAAAAATGTACCGCGGTTGTAAACGTAAACTGACATTAGATAATTGTCTCTGTCAATTGATTTAAAGTTTGCTGAAATAAAGTACTCGACTACGTACGCGAATCGAAAGTTGGTCCGCGGTTCAAACCGATAATTGCGCAATTCTTTAATTACTCGTGCATCGCAAAATTGTGTAACTACTTTTTATAGTCTATTTTTCCATATCTGTTATACAATTTCGCGATGTACTACAGACCACGAACTATGTTTTGTTTAACGGTTTGTCTGACCGGTTTTTTCCCCCTGCTGTGCTCCATTTTAACAGTTAGTTTCCTTTCGAGAGCACGCAGCGACAAAGAGCATTTTCACGGGGAAGAACGAGGAGACGGTTCGTTAGCGACCGATCGAGTTAGACGACCACGATCGATGACCACGGGGGTGTGCTCGAAAACCGTAGCGCGAGGCCACAAAATTCGTGCTAACCCGCCCCATTCTACCCCTGTGTGTCTGCCCCTTTCCGTCCCTTTCGCCCGCAGCCGGAACGAGTCGAAATGGCGCCATCGAACGCTAACGATGCTGACCCACTTTCCGCACCGCGCCGGCGCGCTTGTTGCGGAAAGCCACCGACGTGCGGGGATGCGCTTTCGCATCCGTGACGTGCAATCCGGACGAGTTTTCGTACGCACGCGGCATTTTTACGACGGCCCTTCGAGTCCGTTTTATCACGGACCCGCGTATACGTCCGTGTTGCCTTCAGACAACTTTTTTATGATATAGCTATTTCCCATTTCAACTTGAAGCGCGGCAAATTAAATGCAGGCTCTGACGCTAAGCATGAAACACATTCCGAGTTTATTATTACTGTTATAGCATTCTCTTTTTATTCGCGAATCGTCATTTAATATTTTTTTATTCTCTCGGATTCATGCAGTATTATTTTATTAGCGAAATAGAAGACAACTTAGATTAAAAGTACAAAAAAGGGATAATTTCATTGATTCATATATCATCTTCTATTCATTCTGTATATGATTTCCATATATATCGCACAGATCTCTCTCTATATTATACCTATACGTAAAATAGAAATGAACTTTAATCGGCCAATTCCGAACTGACGATGACGTGACTGCAATTTATTTCCACGTGACGACAGCGCGAAATGGCAGCGCTAGCCTTGATTTCAGCACGGCTCAATTTCCTTCTTCCGAGCCCAGCCCTCTCTCGTGACCCACATTAAGACGCAACGGTCTCGGCGCTAAAGTGCCAGGCGGTTGTCGGAGCTGTTTATACACGCGGTACACGCTCGCGCGCGTGCAAGCACGGCGTCGTCGTGGCCGTGTGCCGTGTGCCGTGTGTAGAAAGGCTGTTGAATATTCAGGCGACGCCGACGCGAACCTCGAGCAGGCAGAGCAAACACGACGGCACCCCGATGTAACACACGAAGGCGATACTCCCCCGCGCATTCCCCGTTTGTCGTCAGTACATTCGACCGATTTAGGCGTGCCTCGTAGTAGTGGTGGTGGTGGTGATGGTGATGGTAGTGGTGGTGGTAGTGGTGGTATTTAGGAGCTAACCCTTTCAGAACCCACCACCTCCGCTGATTGATCTGCTTTCCTCTCCCGTCGTACATCGTGCGGTCTACACACGCTCCGAGCTTTTGACTGAGCAAAATCACTTTGCTTCTTGAATCTGTAGATTTGTATTCTCCTTGTAAGTTCAACAGTCAGATGATATGTTGGGCCCGATTCTGAAATCTTATTTACTTGGTATATTTAATCTCACAGTAAGATGAGAATTATACAGACGTCTTTAGACTCGTGATGAGAATACGCGCCGTACTATTTAAGGGAAGGAAACTCTCCTACAGATACGCTGTCTTTGCGACTGATCCTACGCTTCTATCTCCTTCGTCCCTGTTCTCTTCTGTAAAGGATCATACATTATACTCTCTCGTATCCACATAGCATTCCTCCTTGTCGCACGCGCTTCTTGCTCTTTCATCCTCGCTACTCGTTCTCCTTTATCTCTGCCACTTCCTCTTTCATCCTCTTTGACCCGTACTCTCTCGTCGTTTCGTCCCTTCTCTTTCTCCCGCGTATGCTCGGCCAGCCCCTCGTCCTGGTGTGCCTTGTTACGTAATTAAATGACGGTTCGCCTGACTTGTTGACAAGCCTTGTCGATGTATCGAGTTAGCGACGAATTAAGCCCGTCCGCCTTGGCTCGATTATGGCTCTCGGATATCGCCGCGATCCAAAGGGGGTGGTACTCGAATGAGAGAGAAAGAGAGAGAGGAAGCAAAGAAGGGAAACAGCGAGCGAGAGAGAGAGAGGGGGGGAGGGGTAGAGAAGGCTAGCGGCCTTTGCAGCAGCGTCCGACGTGACGCTCGGCTGTCTCGCCGGAAATTGATCGTTATTCATTACAGGACGCCCGTGGAATTTTCCTCGTCACGGCGGGCTCTGTACCGCCATAATTTATGCGCCAATTATCGCGCACGGCATTATGCGCGAGACGGTCGATTAATGTCGCGCGACGCGAGATAAAGTTTTTTAATGCACCCTTATGATCGCTCGCAATGCATCAACGATTTCCATTTAGAGCCCCGTTGCGTGGCGTAGCCCGGCCTCTCTCACAGATGCCATCATCTCTAACACTGGACGCAGCATTGGTGCGTGCTAATTAATAATTCAAATGCAACGCGTCGAGCGTTTTATACCTTGTATAACGACATGGCAGATTGCGAATATGATGATATTGAAAGTTTGAAAATCTGCGGGATGAAGAAGAATAATGCATGTGATTATTAATCGTTCTGCTTGCGTAGCGTTTTATGCTGAAAATAATTTGCGGCAAATGTGAACGCGTTTACATCGATTTAATAAAACCGAAGTCTTGTTAAGTTTTATATGAGAATTTAATTTTCTACTGCAGCTATGTATATCATCGAGGGAGCTATTGTTGCAATTATTTAATCCGCACTTGTGTAAATGTAAAAACGATGGTTTCACGAGGATGATGGAATCGCTGATGTACTCGGCGATCGATCGATTTTTCGCTTCGTCAACTGTACATTAAATCATTAATTAATCAGACCAGGCAATACACACATCACAGAAAGTCAGAAAATTTCCACGCTAATTTTAATAAGCCAATGGACTTTTTTTTTCTGAAAAATGTAAATGGAATAAGTAACACATTATAATCTAAAAACGCGCACATGCGTGGGATATTATACAACGATATTATCTGATTAATCCGGACAATATTAAATGACTTCTTTATTATCCTCGCGTTGATTAAACCACTGTTCTTCTTTCCGATTTAACACTATCGTTTAATTAGATTACTCTCTCTCTCTTTTTATTCTTTCATCTTGTTATCTTCCAGGACATTGCTACGAAATGATCTTGCAATCTGATTGTCACAGACATTACATTTTTGGTTGAGAGATTTTGAGAAAACGGGCCAACGTATAATCCCCAAATTCGTGCAAACACATATGCATGTACTATGCTGACATACGTGACCGTTATTCTGGATACCTATGTACTCCCAACATTCGTGGTGACACGAGCTGTTAATTAAGCCGACTTCAACCCAAGTTGTTGGTAGATCTACGTGCAGCTTCACCCCATTATGTCGTAGTTTCTACCCCAATCCGTTGCTCTTGTTGTCGATCCTGCTCTTTACCATTCCGTTACATTTTGTACATCTTTAGTTGCGACAAATGGACTATTTGTTACGACTGTGCGTATCGTGAACTCGCGCGAAGAAATTATTATCATTCACCTTGAATATATTAGAAACGTATTATTAATCACGTGGTATAAAAGCACAAATTTGAATTTATTTTTAGTTTGTTGATTTAAGGAATTTCGTATTTTACAGTTTTGAAAGCTCGACGATTTCAGTTTCTTTTTAAAGTTGATAATCTTTCTCTCCCTTTCTTGCTTGCAAACAATTTTAAAAAATACTATATATTTTCTTAATACATTTCAATTATTTATAAATGTCGATACATTAATTTATTGTGTGTTTTTGTTTTTCTCTCTCTTTCGCTCTCACTTTCGACTATTATAATATTTCATTTATTTTTTATACTATTTTAATATGTTTGAAACAAGGTGAAAAAAATA